GCCAACATTTATTTGCTTGAGGGAGGCTTTTTTGTGAAAGCTAGTCATGTGCAAAATCTTGAGAGTATTAGGAGTGACAATGGTTTGTTCTTATCTTATGCTAGCACTAGGACCTCATTTTGGCTAGCACTTAGGATGGTATTTGGGTTTATAAGTTGGATTTTGTTCTTGAGTGTGAGAGGTGAAAAAGAAAAGAATGAAAAGAGTGAGAAAAAGAAAAGAAAACCACTAGGGATATAAAAAAAAGAGAAGTTTGAAAACTCTAAAATCCTTTAGTAACATCCCTTTAGAACCATAAAAAAAAAGAATGAAAAGAAAGATTTGGGATAGACAAAGAAAAGAAAAATAAAGTTAGGAATAAAGAGCTAAGTGTGAAAGTGTTAGAAAGAATCCCTAGTTGGTTAAAAATAAAAGATTAAGTGTGTTCATTGGGTGAGTGTTGAATATGTGTAATCTTTTGGGTTTTTGGGGCTTTGAAAGAAGAGGATTTGAGCTTAGAATCATTTAGGAAAGGGGTAGAATGTTGAGAACAAGTCAATGTATGCAACCATAATGATCTTTTTCTTAGATAAATTTTGCATAATGATCTAGCTACTATTCTTGAGAGTAAGCCACCATAAAAAGAATGCATTTGAACCTCTTTTGTTTCACATTGAACCTTTTTGCTCACCAAGCCAAATGATTGAGATCAATTGCCCATTTGTGAGACTTCACCTTGTGTGTGTGTGTGTGTGTGTGAATGAATGTGAGAGTTGGTTGAAGTAACTTGTTGATTGAAAAGTATTGCATCTTGTTTAAAGGCATAAGAGTGCTAAGATAGGCCTAGAGAAGCTAGAGTACAATAAGAGAGTGTGTTCATGCTATTTGCTATGTTTGCTATGTTACCTCTTAGTACTCAACTTAACATCCTAAGGAAACATAGCAAATAGCATGAACACACTCTCTTATTGTACTCTAACTTCTCTAGGCCTATCTTAGCACTCTTATGCCTTTAAACAAGATGCAATACTTTTCAATCAACAAGTTACTTCAACCAACTCTCACATTCATTCACACACACACACAAGGTGAAGTCTCACAAATGGGCAATCGATCTCAATCATTTGGCTTGGTGAGCAAAAAGGTTCAATGTGAAACAAAAGAGGTTCAAATGCATTCTTTTTATGGTGGCTTACTCTCAAGAATAGTAGCTAGATCATTATGCAAAATTTATCTAAGAAAATGAGCAATTCATGCATACAATGACTTGTTCTCATCATTCTACCCCTTTCATAAATGATTCTAAGCTCAAATCCTCTTCTTTCAAAGCCCCAAAAACCCAAAAGATTACACATCTTCAACACTCATCCAATGAACACACTTAATCTTTTATTTCTAACCAACTAGGGATTCTTTCTAACACTTTCACACTTAGCTCTTTATTCCTAACTTTCTTTTTCTTTTCTTTGTCTATCCCAAATCTTTCTTTTCAGTCTTTTTTTTATGGTTCTAAAGGGATGTTACTAAAAGATTTTAGAGCTTTCAAACTTCTCTTTTTTTTTTATATCCCTAGTGGTTTTCTTTTCTTTTTCTCACTCTTTTCATTCTTTTCTTTTTCACCTCTCACTCTCAAGAACAAAATCCAACTTATACACACAAATACCATCCTAAGTGCTAGCCAAAATGAGGTCCTAGTGCTAGCATAAGATAAGAACAAACCATTGTCGCTCCTAATACTCTCAAGATTTTGCACATGGCTAGCTTTCACAAAAAAGCCTCACTCAAGCAAATAAATGTTGGCTTCAAAGAATGGTAAGGGTTTAAGGGTATGGAGGTGCCATTTGGGTTAACAAAGAGTGGTAAAATGGAATAAGATAACCCAAATGTGTATAATCCATGACTAAGTATGCAAGTGCCCATTTGCAAGAGAATTTAAGTTCATTCACTTCAAGTTCAGTTTGGAGTTGGCTACAAGAAAAATGTTAATCTCAAGCAAGCAAACAAGTTTTCAAGAAGAGTTTTCAAGGCTCGAAGCGTGCAAGGTTTTCAAGAGATGTTTAAGCTACTTAATATGTTTAACTAGGGTGTTACTTTGAACCTTAGAAATGTGTTCTTTACAAGGTACTTTAAAATCATTGTTCCCAATGCACATGAATGCGACCTATATGCTCTAGACTCAACTAAAAGAAAATGTAAATGATGCAACTACATGATTCTTTTTTGTTGTTTTTGAAATTTTTTTTTATTTTTTTTTGGATTTTCTATGCAAATAGATATCTACAATGGACAAAACAAAAGAAAATGCAACTACATGATTCTTTTATTGTTTTTGAAATTTTTTAATTTTTTTTTGGATTTTCTATGCAAATAGATATCTACAATGCAAGATTCTAAATGAAACAAAACATGAAAAGGCATTAGAAACTTGATCCCTCCCCCAAACTTGAATCACACAGTCTCATGTGTGACTAAGAAAGGAAGAGGTCTCGAAAATAATCAGAAGGAAAATAAATATGTACAAGGATAAAGGTGTTGTGATACCTCTTGATGAATCTGAGGCAGTGGCCTCATCGTCATCCTCTGCGGCTTCCTCTCCTACATCCTCCTGATCTCCCTCGTGAAACTCATCAATCCTATCTCCCTCCTCATGTGACCCCATCAACATAAAGGCGGCTCCTCTCTCAGCTTGCTGACTACTCACTTCGCCACCTCCTTCTTCTTCTGAAGAGGTATCCATGGAAGGGCATTCATTCACAGAATCACCACGAACTGAAGATGGGTTACGCCTCTTGCGGCGTTGGCGGTGTGTAGAGAGCCGGTGAGGACGCCTCGGGCAGGAGGTTCAGCTACATCGAAATCACTTGCTCTACAACCTCCTATGCCCGCATTGGCTAAAACCTCGCCTACTTTCCTGAATAACCTGACTGAAGTCTGAGCATTGGCCTTCACAGTCTTCTTAAGAGCCTTATATTTGGTCTTCAGTTTGTAAATGGTCCTATCCTGAATCATGTTCCACCCTTCCAATATACTCATGAGCATCTCTCAAAGGGCCAGGAGGGAGGGGTTTGGTGTAAGGCTTGAAGTAATAGCGAGGGGGACCATAGAGTACAGAATCGTCTTGAGCAGCTCGTGAAGAAGATGCTGCGGAGGAAGTAGCAGCAGCTGAGGAGGATGCGCCAGCATCAAGTCGCCTTGCAGCTTGCGCACGCCTATTAGAAACAACACCAAGCGGGCCATGGCTCCCAAGCTGATGGTGGTAAGGGATAGCAAAGGTGATGGAGGTCCTCATTGATATCCCAACCAAGCGCGGACAAGGTAAAACAATCTCTGCAAAGTGGCCATCCAAGTCAAATGAGTAGACGTGCTTGTCATTATACATCCCAGAGAGAAACCTTGTCTTCTTCATGTAAGGACCATCCAAATACAAAGGGCCTTGGGGACCCTTAACTTCACCACCAAGGGGAACACCCACTGCCTTCAACAACGGTGTAACCAGCCCGCCTACGAGGATGTAAGGCGTCGAGTCGTGATTAGTCCAAGCCCAACCCTTGTAGTACTGCATCCTCCGCACAAAGAACCCAACTCTACCGAACTCGAAGAAACAGTCCTCATCTTCTCCATACACAGCGCGCTTCCCATATAACGGCTCAAGCGCAAGTCCAATCAAACTCAACTCATCATCAAGAACATTACCCGACTCACGGCGAGCAAAGACAATGTTGCCTAGAAGGCGATGAACATAGCGGATGATGGGGTTGCAGATGCTGGTGGCTTTGTTCTTCTGAGGATGACGCACTTCACCTCCTGTAATAAGAGGCCAGACCTTGTCTCCAATACCACGATCATTAGGGATCCTTGGTGAGACATCATCCTCAAGTCCCATGATGTTTCCTATCTCCTTGAAACTCAGCTTGTAGAGCTTGTTCTTCACCTTGAACTGGATCCTCCCATAGCCCAAATTATCATCTTCTTCACAGAAACGAAACACTTCCAATGAGGAAAAGAATTGACATGTAACATCCTCATAAAATGGGGGGGGCTTCCTTGGTAAGGAGTGACTGCAATTCCATCCTCTCTAGCATAGTGAAAACTCCATCATAAAGCGCGGTTTCTCGAAGGAATAAGGGGTCCGGGAATCTAGTGGGTTTCCATTTGATGCCGTCACGGAGGTGAGCTAACAGTTGCGGTTTTGTCGGTACAACCTTACGGTTTCTTTGGGGACCCGATGCAACCTTCTTCCCTTTTCTCTTAGGAGATTTTCCTTTCCTCACTAGAGTTTCTTCCTCACTCTCACTCTCAGCTTCAGCTTGAGGAACCTCTTCCACCTCTTCAGTAGTAAGTCTCTTTTGTGGTGATTCCTCACTTGAGTCCTCTTGTATTCCAGTTCTCGCCATTTAGTAGTACCTGAAATCAAACACTCAAAATTTTATGAGTTTAATGCCAATTGAAGCTCACTAAACATGATATGTACTCAAATAAGAAGTGACTACATCTAACTAAAACAGAATCAACCAAAATCCCAGCTTTTTCGAAATCCTCAAGAACACTTAGAACACAAATTTCAAATTCGCAATTCAGGCTTATCTAGCACGAAATTCATGAACCCAACTCATCAATCAAGCATATAATAGCATAGAGAACAAGTATTGAGCAAGAAATCGGACATGCAACAATTTTCAAAAAGTTGAAATTTTTTCATTCTTTTAAAACTAAACAAAATCTGCATACCAGTTCGAATTAGGATGAAATAAGTTGAGAAAATGATAGAGGGGAGAATTTCGTGAAGACAGCACTTTGAATCAGTGAATTTGGTTGAGAAATGATGAAGTTAGGGTTGTGTGTTCTTTAGAGGATATGGGGGCTTGGGTTTCGAAAATGGAGGTGGGGTGAGGTGAGAGAGAGTTCGACAGAGGTTTTAGGGAAGAGGGAGTCGGGTTGGTCCGGTTTGGTGGAATTCGGGTTGGTTAACTTAAATTGAACCGGTTTCAAAAGAGGAAGAAGACTTACTCCGCTGCACATCTATGCTTCCTATGATCTATAATTTCCAGGCACCGCTGCTTGATGTCTGTTGGAAAGAAGATTCTAGTGTGTGGACAGTGTCATTTTACTCCGGGAGCTATGCTTTGAAACTGATGTATCCAAACTATGATGGAAGTACAGAATCAACAATTCATGGTAGCAGTGGGCTTGGAAGGAGAGGGGCAACGTACATGACTACAGATGATCTTACCATCTCTCCTACTAACTCGTGTTCAACTATTTGCATATTGAAGAAGTTGAATGTGGGTTTGGACGAGATTGAGGAGCATGTAATCATCATTAGCAAAACAGAGGTAAAAATCTAATAACTAACATTTTTTATATAATCAGAATATACCTATATTTCTAGATATATTTTGTTCTCAAGTGATCATGTTAAATCTTCTAATGCAGGCTATCGGTTTACTCAGAGCTTCACTGATGACATCCACTGCATTGACCACGGCTTTAGGCAGCTTACTTCTAAAGAAGCCAAAAGATGAGAAACTCTAAGTTATAAATTTTGTTGGAATTTTAAACTCAGGTTTTGGAATCACACCATGTTATCTCTGTCTTTGTTTCCTTTTGTTTTCATTGTTCCAGTTTTAAAAAGTAATATCTCTATTTTGACATAGATTTGTTAGGTCAAGCTATGATCTGTGCTGTAACCACCAGTTCAGGTTTGGAGTTTACAGTTATTGGTTGTGTCTTCATATCCGGGGAAAGGAATAGTTGACCGCAGTAGCATTCAAGACAATCTATGAAGACTCGGAATAGCTCGTGAAAGTAATCAGCTCTACTTACGTAATGACCATGAAATAACTAGCGTATTTGGTTAAATACACACTTCTACTGTTTGTTTGTTTTTTTTACTTTTTCTAAAGTAATGGTTATTGTCTGTTTCTTTTATTAGTCTTATAAAGCCTCTATCTATTATTCAAACATAAACAATTGACACAATTGTATCTCTATTAGATTATACCATTAACTAAAACATATACTGATAATTTTATAACTAATAAAAATATAAGGTAACAAATCGTGTGCTTTGATTGATCAAAATATAGTAAAACCCTAAAATCTGAACTGGAGATTCCCAGACTCCCATTATTGTCTGTTCGATGTCCTCGCAGGTTTGTCTTTACTCTTTAGCACTAGTTTCATATGACTAAAGGTAAAAGGTTTTTTTTTCTTTTTGAAAAAGAGAAAGGTAAAAGGTTGAAGCTTTTGTTTCTATAGAGCGTGGGGGTGATTGGTTGGGATGTAACTAATGACTTTAGCTTTAATTTCTATCTACAACCATAAAAGTTACCAATCATACTTTATCTAGTTTTCAAAGCTAAAGTCAAAAAATTTTAAAAATGGTTGTAGCACTCTTGTTTTCTAAAGCACTATTTTATATGTTCAGAGTAAAAGGTTGAAGTTTTTGTTTCTGTTATTGTTTACTCTGTACTCTCCATAGGGTTTACTCTGTTCTCTCCTGTTTTTTTCACTATGTTCTCTCCTTCTAGTTGTTCACTCTGTTCTCTCCTTCTGGTTGTTAACTCTGTTCTTCCAATATGTTTTACTTTGTTTTCTCATATGTTTTACTCTGTTCTCTCCTTATGAAGTACTCTGTTCCCCCAATATGCTTTACTCGGTTTTCTCTATATGTTTTACTCTGTTCTCTCATTATGAGTTTACTCTGTTCTTACAAACGCTCAAAGTGTCATTCTTTTGAGATTCCATTAGATTGATGCATTGACTTTGATGAAACTTTTTTACAAAAAAAAAAAAAAAAAAAAAAAAACTAGTTTACCACTACTAGTCTGTGAGGGGGATAGCTTGAACCTAGTTTAGCTTCTGTTTTCTAGATGTGGAAACTAGATCTTATGGTTTGTTGTTAATCCAGCAGTTGAATCACTCTGAGCTCACTTCATCTTTCAGGCACTTTTAAGGAAGAGATTGGTTCTGTCTGCATGGATGCCAACAAGCTAGACATGGGCTCGAGAGATGCAATCAACTGTCTTCCTCAAGAGGTTCTGGGAGACATCTTGTCCTTACTCCCGACCAAACGTGCTGCTTCAACATCTGTTTTGTCTAAAAACTGGAGGCATGTGTTTAGACTAGTCCATACTCTTGATTTTGAGGGGAAAAAAGAGTGTCCTGTGATCCGGGAGTGCTTCAGAAACTTTGTGGACAGAACACTCGCCTTGCAATGCGATTCTTCTATCAAGAAGTTCTCTCTAAAATATCACATTGACGCTCAAAGTGATGTGGCTTACCTGCGCTGCTGGATATGTAATGTCATTAAGCCTGCCTTTAAAGAATCTTTAGTCCATAATCTTTCTCTATGATCGTTCTCTTCTAGTTCTAACTTCTAACACCAAGCTCTCCATTCTTTTGCCTGCAAAATGTATTGGGGATTTAGAAAACTTTGATTCGTTCGGTGAATTAGGGTTTATAGGTACAAGCTAAAACTCTATGATAGGATCTCTATACATCTCTTTTACCAACAGAACAAGAGCTGTTTTTCTCTAACATGACGTGACTGATTTTCGTTTGGTGCTGGATATGTTGATTTCTCATAGAACATTCATCAATATGCACAAGATGAAAAAAAAATAGGGCAATTCATCAAAAATCTATAAAACTAAGTATGATGATTAAACTGTGCACGTAATTTAATAAAAATGTAAAATTGGGAAAAATGTAAATATTTCATATACATAAATGCAGCACAAATAAACCCCTAAACTCTGAACTTGAGACTCCCATTCCCACCAGTGTCTGTTTGGACGTCCTCGCAGGTTCTGTCTTTAGCGTTAGTTTCATATGACTAGTAACGCATGCAAGAATGGTAAGGAAGAGACTGGAATGGATTCAATCAAACTAGACATGGGCTCGAGAGGAGATGCACTCAGCTGTCTCCCTGAAGAGGTTCTGGGAAAGATCTTGTCCTCACTTCCGACCAAACTTGCTGCTTCAACCTCTGTTCTCTCGAAAAAGTGGAGGTACCTCTTTGCACTGGCTGACAATCTTGATTTAGACGATTCCGTCTTGCTGCAACCGCCGGAAGAGGGTAAAGAAGGGCGTGATAGAATCAAGGAGAGCTTCAGAAACTTTGTGGAACGAACACTCGCTTTGCAATGCGGTTCTCGTATCAAGAAATTCTCTATATCATATCTCTATACCAACAACAGGGATGTGGTTGATGTGCGTCGCTGGATAAGCAGTGTCGTCGCCCGTGGTGTTTTGGAAGTGGACTTTACTCTGAGGCCTCGTTGGGAAGGCTTCATAGCTAATGATGAGGTTCACGGGGTCTGCCTTCTTCCTAAAGACCTCTTCAGGAGCCAGACACTGGTTAAGCTGTATCTGGGAAAAGATACTAATATTGGAAAGCTTCCTCCGGCTCTGGATGTCTATCTTCCAACGCTCAAGACTCTATTCCTCGCTACCATTGTGTTTGACGACCAAGATCTTTGTGATGTGCTTCTTCCTGGTTGTCCAGTGCTTGACAAGTTAACTTTTGTTCACCAGACCTATTTTAACCCTAACAGGATATCGAGTCAGAGCATCAAGAAGCTAATAGTTTTCTATGATTATGATGAGGGGATTGATCATTGGTCTGTTATGTCATTTGACGCTCCTAGTCTTGTCTCTCTAGACTACACTGACTTTGCCTTGTCTGCCTACCCTCTTGTTAACTTTGGGTCATCCTTACTCGAAGCTAAGCTGGACCTTTCTTATTGTAAAGAAAAGATCAAGAGGCCTGATTTATCGGGTCTCCTTGTAGGGATAAGCAACGTGCAGACTCTCCATCTTTCTCCCGATTCTGCTGATGTAAGTCTTCTCTGTTTTTTTTTTTACTTGTTAGGACATTCTTGATGCCTTTGTGTGGGTGCTTTCAGGTGATTTCTCGATGTGTTAAACATGGACTAGTTTTACCGGTGTTTAAGAATCTGGTTAGCTTATCTTTTGGGAGTAACAACAAACGAGGCTGGAAACTACTACCGTATCTGCTTAAGCAGTCTCCAAAGCTTGAAACACTATTCATCCAGGTATATTTTTTTTACTAGGCAAAACATTCTATTATAATTATCTATAGAGACTTTGTACTTAGTCGTTGCATGCATCTTCCTTCTTGATGCTCCCCCCCCCCAGGGTCTGGATGGTTACACAAGCGATGTTACCATTAGTCTGTTCCAAGTCAAGGTGCTGCATGTTCTTGGTTATAGAGGAACTGCTGAAGAGCCTCAACACTTGAAGAGTTTGCTTGCGGGAACTGAATGCATCCCAAAAGTGCGAGTGGAGTTCCCTGAAGATGTTGTGGTCGATGATGCCACAATTATTCAAACCAATAGGGAATTTTTTACCCTTTTTGGAGTTGTTCCAGACTATATCTATTATTTCGAGTAGACCTTATATAAATTTGCTCTCTCTTCTCTCCCGAAGAAAGGGTTTAATCCAAAACATATGCTTAAGAATTTCCAAATAATGTTCTTTTTTTGTATACATGTTCTTGTCTGTACTTTCACATTCCCAAACTAGTTTTTATACATGTACTAGATATAGGCCCGTGCGTTGCACGGATTTTATTTGATGTTTTAATATTTATAAAATATAAAAATAATAATTTATTTTATATTTTTATGATTTTTTGCAGCACATATTTTATTTGATGTTTTAATTTTACAAATGACATAAAATAATAAATTATTTTTTATTTTAGGATTATTTTTGTATATATTGTGTGAAATTTATTTCAGAATTTAGAATTTGTTTAACCACATAAATATTGGTAAATATTTGTATTTTAATAATCATGGCGTATAAGTGAATTGTTTTTAAATTTGTACTTAAAGCCAGAGAAAATACTCAAACCTAAAAATTTAAACCAAATCCAGTTTGAATTAAGAAATAGAGTGAAAAAAAAATCATAGTTAAATAAGGTCAATCAAGTCAACGACAATATTATACAATTGTCACTTCTTAATTTGTGATGATAAATCTTAAAATAAATAAATAAATTATTTTCTTATATATTGTAATAATGTTGAAGAAGACGATCTTAGAGATAATTAAGAAATTCTTCTAATTTCATTTTAAGTATATGATATGTAACTGTCTTTGTTTGGTCTCGTGATACTGATAGTGATTGTCTATGTTCTAAACTCTCACAAGCTGATACTTTGGGTGTTTTGTATGTATCATTACTCGTGTATCTGGTTAACTGAATGTTGATGAATGTGTTTGTGATTGCTTTGTTTTTTTCAGCACTCTGGGGAAAAGGATTAAAAGTACCTTACGTTCATTTGATGTTGATCTTATATCTTCACCATGAACTGCGATAAATTGTTAGAATCTAGACATGATACTAGAATTTGCTCTGCTTAACAATCGTGTGCTATCATGTTCTATCAGTTTGTATGTATGTGCTTTTGTGGTCTCAGACTCTCAAGAGTGTGGTTCTTGTGGGAACCGAAATTCACACTTGTCGATTTCCGTTAAATAAGGAAACTTAGGAAAACCCTAATTTTCCAGAGGAACCGGATCTCTGCGAAAGCCAACGACAAGTAACCAAATAAATGTGGAAAAATATGAAAAACATAGTAAAACGAATTTATAAAGAAAGTCGATCTTATTTCCGATTCGCGTAAGAGCGTTGCGAT